AATCTTCCAGCCTTTGTGGGTGACAAATAAACTGGTCAGTGAGAAACACTGTCTCCTTCACCTTCTGCTGATTTCCACGATTTGCAACCAGTCAGACAGCAGAAACCAGACCAGAGGAAGACAAACCCAATGGTACTTTGGAAGGTTCCATCCCTGAAGCCCCAGCACCCCAGCTGCCCACTAGCTGCACCTTTTGAGTACCAAAACCTTTCTAAGAACATCCTCTTCACACTCAGATCACTAGGAAGAGCAATAAGTCATCTTTCTATTTCCATTATACCTACAATGAATTGTGAGGATAACCCCATTTTCTTCCACTTATATTTCAGTTATTATTTGGAAGCATTTCCTCCATACATGAACATCAATGATGATCCTGTTTGTGTTTTGCATCATTCACCACCACTTCCTACCCCAAGGACAAGGACAACTGGTAGCCTGGTATGACCTTATGCTCTCTCCTTCAAAAATCAATTGCTCACATCTACCTAAAATTCAATGTAAGCAGCCATTTCTATAGAATCTGGAAACCTTACAGAGTCAATTGTGCAGCAGCCTTTTGACATCCATTTTTTTTCCCCAACACACATGCTACAGACACAGAAAAACCTCTACCAAATCTTAATTCAGACAGTAAACAAAAAGTTTTTCTGTTCAAATCTTTTAAGAATTTACCCTCGTAAAATTAATTTAGAGTCCTTCTCATAAAAGCAAGTAAACACCATGGTACCAACTGGGAAAGCAACTTATAAAGTTACAGTACATTGTTCCTCACATAAAAAAAAAAAAAAAAAGAAGGTGGTAGCAGTAAAGCAAAGGCAGCATCAGCTGCTCTTCTTTTCCCAAGGTAGGGACTCAATGCACATTGAATTAAACATTAGCACAGCCAGGAAAGCTGACAGTGCTGCAGGGACAGCTATTTCTAAACCTGTTTTCCCTTTTGGCAGGCAAATGTCTGCTCCAGTGCTTGTGTGCTCAACTGACATTGAAGACAACAATGCGAATGCAAGTTTCAGGAAAGTATTAAAAATGAAAACAGAGAGCAAACTGGTTGAAAGCAGTTTTCTAACAGTATTCCATGAAATTAGTACCATATAGGTGAACAGTCTTTTTCTTCACATTGTATTTCGAGGTAGAAGGCAACATGCTTTCCCAGGTGGAACACTGGCTACAGATGCAGCATGCCATACTCTGACACTAGGGTCTTTGCTGTGGTTATCACCTTGATCTAATAAAATATATACCCTAAAGGAAAATTCAAGATACAATTACACATTGGCAATAACACAAAACTATGCTGAAACAAAGCAGGAAGACAAGAAAGCAACCAACACACTGTTTATCGTCCTTTCACCAGTCTCGGAGGGTGAGGACACCTTACAGAGAAGCAGGATACACCAGGAATGCAGTACAGAGACTTCAAAGTAATTGCAAATATCTGTCACACATATCCTGATCCCAGGTGGACCTGGCCAGACCAATTCTGCTTCAAGCTAGCTTTTAACAGCTCTATCAGCCATGCTGTTATTCCCCAACCCACATCAATCACCATAAATAATCCCATGCTGACAGAACATACGATATTTTAGCTTAAGTTCAAAATCCCATTAATTCCTGCTCTTAACACTGCACCAGTTTACCCACACCTATACGTACAAATAATCTATTAGCACTCATCTGTTCATAACAGCTATTCAAAAACAATAAATAGAGAAAAATCAAGCTTTCATAGTGAAGAAATCAAAAGCTAGGAAAGTCCAGAATTAACAGGGTTTATCCAATCTTTTATTTTTTGCCCAAAAAAAGTACATTATGATAACTTTTTAAATGTGTAACGTGATCCCATACATTTTTCCCCTCAGAAAATAGAAAATTCCCTGAACAGAATAGAAGGTATTTGATTACAGAACAGCTGTGCTGGTTTTATGTTTTTGCGGTTTTTTTCTATTCTCACGCAGCTTGCTGTTTCTGGCTTACTTACCACTTTGAAGGCAGAAATATTAATCTCACAGGTTTTCCTGCCCTGCTTATTGCTACATTATTTGCAAGCTTCACAAACATAAAATAATTTCATAGCAATCCAGAGGAGATGTGGCATTATTCCCTTTTATCAGGTAGGGAATTGAAGCAAAGAGAAAAAAGTCTTCAGTATCACTGATTTGGGCAACTCCATTTAAAGCACTTTGGTTTTGACTTTTAAGAGTATTTGGCACTATTTCACCTCCTGTGTTTTGACTGACTTCAGTTACAGCTGTGAGTGTACAATGCTTTTGCAAGGGAGACTGAGAATCTCATGCAAAATAGCAGAAGTTGGTCATATCTGAATTGCAGTGATAGCAATTTGCGATGGTGATGCCGATTCCCAACACAGCAGGGATGGAATTCCATTCTCTACAGCAATATTACCTCTCTTATCTTGAAACAATACCTTGAAGGAGGCAGGAACCCCAGAAGACACCCTAGTTCCAACATCCAAAAAAAATTCCAGAAAGTTCAACCACCCCCACACGCCTTCACCTCTGCAAAGGTGAACACAGTCCTCTGCAAAGCTGCACAACAGGTTCTTCCACAAGGACTGCAAAAGGAGACTGTATAGGCCATCTTGGTGTCCTCTTATTTTAAGAGCTTCACTTTGCCAGCTAGCTAAAACAACAATGTTTTGTGCAAAATCTGTTATGCTTTAAGTGAACAATTTGATCTCTCCTCCCACTATTGCCTCCCCCCAGAACAATTTTGCTTCCTCTAGGGATGCAGTCTACAATATTTGAAGGGAAAGACTAAAGCCAAGTCTTTGAGAGGACAGGGAGAATCTTCAAAGACATA